ATGTTCGAGGCCCTGGGTTCAATTCCCCAACATCACACAAGCAGAAAAAGCTGGAAGTGGTTCAAGTGGTAGAGCACTAGCCTTGAGCTGAAATGCTGAGAGATAGCACCCAGGCCCAGAGTTCAGGCCCCACAACTGACAAAAAAAAAAAAAAAGAGATGGCCAGGAAGCTTTGCATGAGGACTGGGAAAGACCGGAGATACGGTTTTCTCTTTGCTCCTTATTTAAAAAATGAAAAAAGTTATACAAACATAGTTGTGTTTTTCTCTCCCTCTCTCTTTTTTTTTTAATTAAATGAGCCCTGGGCAGGAACTAGTTTAGAACTGTACCTTGGAAAAAATTGACTCCTTTTGTTTTCTATGGAAGTTTTATGAGTTAATTTTAAATTCCCTTAGTCCTTGATTATGTCTTCAGCTCTTTGTAGCTTTTGGCAAGGTTGGTAGGAATGTAATTTTCATGAATGAAGAAATTATGGGGCTTTTTTGTTGAGACATACAAAGAGGTACACCCTAAAAAAAGGAGCCTGGGGACAAATGGCTTAGAAATCTGAGCATCTGCTTTTCTGTGGATGAGTCAATAGATTTTATTATTCTTACTAGGTTGATGTTTTAGAAGGCTTTTGAAAAGTAAATTAGTATGATATAGTTCTTGCAATTAGTGAGCTGATATTAATTCATACATTATTAACTTGTTTGTACTTTATTGTGATTTTCTTAGCTTTAACCTATATTCTTTTCTGTCCCATGAGTCCATCAATGGTCACATGGCATTTGGTTGTCATGTCTCTTTAGGCTCCTCTTACCTATAACAGTTTCTTACACTCTTATTATTTTTGATGGGCTTAACAGTTTTTGGAAGTACTGGTCAGGTATTTTATAGAAATACTTCTTGTTTAGAATTTTTCTGATGTTTTTCTCATGACTACACTGGGATTGTGGTTTTGAAGAGAAAGATGATGCTCCTTCCTTGAGAGAATTTTCTATATGGAAGAGTTCTCTTTTTCCCCAGTTATTTGTTCAGTGACTTATTTATATCAATATAGACTTACAAGTCCATTATCTTTCTTTCTCTGTGCATTCTCTCTTTCCCCTCCTCCCTTCTCTCCCTGCAAGGGGGGGGGGATTTATTCTAGTGTCATACATGCTAGGTACACACACTACCATCTCCAGCCCAGACTCCTGGTTATTTATGTTATACTTGGAGTTTTAATCCAGTACTCCATTTTGTTGCTCACATTTTATTTTGACAGTCTCAGAGAAGTATTTAAAACAGTCTCAGAGAAGTGGTTCTACAGTAAACCGTTCAATCCATATAAGATACATTGGGAACTACTTTGCTGCACCTTTCAAAGTTGAAGAGACCAATGTACTCTGAATGATGTCCGATCCGCTTATCTCTATCTCCTGAGTAGCTGAGAGTATAATAGCAATGTGCCACCATACTGATCCTTGTTTTGTTTTGTTTTGTTTTTTGAGTTAGTGTCAAATTGTGTAGCCCGGGCTGGCCTTGAATACAAAATCCTCTTGGCTTCATGTGCTGATTATATGCACCATCCTGACATATTTTTTATATTGCTTTATCTAACTTACATGGAAGAAAAATGTTATTTCCATAATCAGAGCAAAATTAATAAAAAGCTGAATCTGGGTAATGTTGTAAGTGCCACACCAAATTCACCTATGAGATCCTGTCTCAAAGCAAAAAGAACAGAGTTTTTAATTATACAGTTTCATTTTTTATAAGCTCTATGTTTATTATATGGTTTATAGATATAATGACATTCATTTTTTTTGCTTACATTTCTGCTATAAAAAGTAGCAAGAGCCTGGAGTGGTACACACCTGTAATCCCAGCTTCTCAAGAAGTTAAGGTAAAAAGAGCAAGGTTTGAGGTCGAGTTAGTATGAAATCCCACTTCAAAAACAAGATAAAAACAAGCATGAGGTCCTGGCCACACAAAGAAAGGGAGAGAGGGAGGAAGATAAGGAAGGAGGGAGAAAAAAGAAAAAGGAAGAAAAAAGAAAGGAAAGGAAGAAAGAAAAAGGGAGGGAGGAAGAAAAAAGGAAGTAGGGAAGAAAACAGGAAAGAAAGCAAGGCTACAATATTTGTTTAAAAGATTTTTAGTGCAATTGTTATTCTTTCATAAAACTTTTGCTTTTCTTGGCTTAGAAACTACCTTATTCATAATACTTTTGAAATCTCTGAGTCAATATTGTAGATTCAAATTCACAGAGAGTGATTTGAAGCAATAGCAATTTTATTTAGAGAGGCTATGGATTTGAGTAAAAGGTAAATGTCTTCGTATTTAAACATTTTAAATGTAAAAGGCTATTTTTTACCTTAAATAACTTTTTTCTTTTGGAAGGGGGCAGGAGAGAGTCAGGGTCTCACTGTGTAAGCAGATTGGCCTAGCTTTTATGAAGTTAACATCCTTTTCCTTTCTTCTTTTGTTCTGGGTTATATCTTAGTTCCTTCTTCAGTTGAACAGCAAAGAAAAAGAAAGATTTATCCATCATTTCTTTAGTTCTTCATAGTCTTTCTTAGTCTTCATAGCGCTTCATTTAAAAAGTTTTCTCATCTGGGCACTGTGACTCACACCTATAATCCCACCTACTCAGAAGGCTGAGATCTGAGGACTGAGGTTCAAACCCAGGCCAGACAGGAAAGTCAATGAGATTTTTTTTTTCGGGTCCGGTCATGGGGCCTGAACTCTGGCCTGGGCGCTGTCCCTCAGCTCTTCAGCTCAAGGCTAGCGCTCTACCACTTGTGAGCCACATTGCCACTTCCGGCTTTTTTTTCCTGCTTATGTGGTGCTGAGGAATCGAACTCAGGGCCTCATGCATGCAAGGCAAGTGCTCTACCACTGAGCCACCTTCCCAGCCCTCAATGAGATTTTTATCGCCAAGCAAGGAACAAAAAAACCACAAGTTGACTGTGGTAGAGTACTAAAAGCTCAAGGCTAAAATAACATTTTAGGATGTTATTCTAAAAGCCCTCATTCTGTTTTGGATGCCAGTCATAATTGAGTAGTAGGTTTAATACTGAATTAGAATAGTGTTATTGCAGCCTTGAAAATGTAAACAGTATATAGGCCTAAGAGTGAATAAGATTTCTCAGAATACAGTGTGGATGAGGATATGAGAGTGGAATGTAGGTTGTTTTCTTATAATTAAAGTTTGATTATTAACAAGGTACCCAAATAAGGGCACCTAATACATTGTAAAACTTATAAAAAGTATAGCAAAAGGAGAGTATTGAAAATAAACCAGTAAATGGAGTTTTAAATTATATCCTTTGGATCCTTTGGATCTCAGTCTCTTGAGTTGGTAGGATAACGAGCCTGCATAGATGAAGTTTTTGTTCATTCATTGCTTGGGGTCATTGTGTTAATTTTTTAAAATGCCTTCACATTATTTAGAGTAGAAATATGTTCAATTACTGATTATTTCTTTTGTGCTAGACAAATTGTGTTATGTTCCTTGGTCAATGAAGGATAGGTGTTAGTAGAGACCTATAAGCAAAGGTACTCAATGCTGTCTGGAGTAGGAGACGGAATAAGGGAGACTTCATAGGGGAAATGATATTGAAGCTGTAACCTGAGAAGTGAGTAGAAAGTGGAGCAGAGTATATAGAGAGTATTCCACATAAAGAGATATCTTTATTTATTTAAATGTATATTGGAAAGCTATGAATAATGGTAGCTATGTTTAAAGTTATAGACTAATTATTTTTGCTATTGTATGTCACTGTTCAAAGCAGTTTACATATATTCCATCTTTAATTTTCTAACAATGTAAGAAAATTAGTTATTTTTTATTGATTCTTTTATGAGTAATATAAATATACATATATACAATCTATAGTTTTTGTCTTTTCTTATTATATCTGAAATTTAGGACTTTATTTTGGTTTTGAAACAAATGAAATGACTATAAGTGGCCTGTATACATTATGGCATTATAGGTTAGCATCAGTAAGAATAATATATTATAATATGTCATGTCTGGATAATATCTAGGACTCCTAAAATTAATATACAGCTTCTAGCTATAAAGAATAAAGGAGATAGAGACAGAAATCAATTATGTGAAATTGATGGTGACACATTCTAAAAAACTAAGTGGCCTAGACTCTTCAGAAAAGTCAATTTTATCAAAATGAAAATTAAATTAACTTGAAAGGAACATAATAAAAATATAATGCATGAATTTAGAATAGATACTAGATATTTAAAAACTACAAAACACATTTAAAGGATAACTGGAAATTTTGGAATATGGACTAAATATTAAACAGTATTATGAAACATCGTTAATGTTTTAGGTGTGCATTGTGATATGAAGGAAAAGCCTTTTTCCAAGTATGGATGCTGCCATTTAGGAGTGCAGTTTCATGTTTGGAAAGTTACAGTGTTTTAGTAGATTATTAATGGGATTCGTAAGTATTGAGTATTTACAAATTTCTTTAATTTACCTTTTTATTATGTGCTATTCCTTCCTCATAATGTTTATCATTTTTTCTTCTGTCCTCATTTTTTTTTTTTTGTTCACAGTTTTCTATGTTTCGGCCCATGTTGGGTAGACCTAATGCTTTTAGGCCTCTAGTAGGGATACCACATGACAAAGGCAGGGCGAATATGACAGTGAAACTGCTTACCTTAGGACCAGGAAGCAAAACAGAAAGAGGAAGAGGCAAGGGGTCCATATTCTCCTTCATGTTCATACTTCCAAAGACCTAGGAACCTCTCACTGGGCCCTACCTCAAAGGTTCTGCCATTTCCCACTTGTGTTATGCTGGGGCCAGGTGGGCTGTGCAGTGCTGCGTCCTTCTCAACCCTAAGGGTAGGCTCTCGCACACTATTGGGCCAATCAGTATTTGTTGAGTGAATTAATGGATGAGAATAACCAATCCCAGCAATCTATGTACCTCATAATAACTTCAGTATTTTTATTCAATATTTTTATTATTTTAATAAAAAACAATTTCTGCATTTTTTTTCAGGGAAGTTGGGAAAAAAGAATTTTGAAGAGTTTAAATAGTATGTGCACGGAATTGAGTATTCCATTGGCACGAAAGGTACTTTTAACATTTTATGCTTAATTTTCTGTTCATTAACTACTGAAAAATGTCATGAAGTTATATACTACATATATATATATATGTAACTAGTTTGTCAGCTTATTTTGAATTAAAAAATTTATAAATGCCCATTATATAGATTTTTGCTATGTATGCCTTAATGATATCTGTATTAAACATTTTGTCAAATAGAAATATAGAATCTAGAGTATAGATTATGTAGATAATTGTTTGTAAAGATTATGAACCCACTTTTGGGATTTTAATTACCTTTGGCCTCCTTAAATTTTGACTAATGTAGCACAGTCACCCTATTTCTTGAACTGGAGATGGAGTTCAGTCACATAATGATCTTGTATCATACCATCTTTCGGTTTTAATGTGAGGAGTGAGAAGAAGAATTATCATCTCTGTAGAACTGGAAGTCTATTCAGACCTTATAGTCAGCAGGTGTGCATCATCTGAAATGGAGGAGGGATGAGAAGAAGGAACAGTCACTGGAAGAATGGTATAGACTCAGATTGTCATGCACAGTAGGAAAGAACAAGGTTCCCTCTGCTTCCTACCTTTGGGTGGCTCTTGCTGTTGAAGACATAGTGGATGTACTCTTTAAGATACCCAAGTCCCTGAAGGTTCACAAGGATGATGTAAAGAAAGGAATAAAGCTACATGGAAACCTAAACATGTAGACTTATGTAATATACTGGTTTTCACAGCAAGACAGGAGGCTGCCAAATCACAGTCTCACTCTCTTGCCCACTCCCCCTTGCCATCATTGCTGAGGTTGCTGGATGGGTACAAGATGTAGGATGTAGCTAAGGAGCCACTTTTTCTTTTGAAATGTACTGGCTAATACAGGTATTTTGATTGGACTCATATCCTATCTTAACATTAGATATAGTGTTATAGTTAAATAATTAAGTGCAATTCTGAAAACATTAGCCATACCAAGTGAAATTATTTTTTCTTATGGTAGTTTATTTAAACTTTTAAGTAAGTTACTAATTTTTACTTTTAATCTGCACTGCTAAGCTTCAATAATGAAAACAATTAAAAATTACCTTTTTTTTTTAAGAGACCAGCTTTAGAACAGAAAGAACTTCTTAATAAATGGAATGAAATGGGAACCGATGAACCAGGTATATTAACTTCATTCAAAACATAGCAGTGGGGAAAAAATCGCATTCTTAAACAGGGATCCAAAATAATGATAAATAATTTATTGGAAGGAATGCAAATTTTGGAAGTAAGGTAAATGACATTGACATATTAATGATAGACTTTAGAATGTTTTAAAGAATTTATTTTGTTAAAGGAGGAGGCTACAATGCTTGATAAGAAATGTACTAATTATCTTGCCCATGTAATTGTAACCCCTCTGTACAGTATTTTCACAAAAAATATTAAAAGAATTTATTTTGTTAATTTAAAATTTAAAATCCAGTCAATTTTTTAATTTAAATTGAGAAGGTGATGTACAGAGAGGTTATAGTCATGTAAGTCAAGTAATGAGTTCATTTCTTTTTGAACAGTATTACTCCTCCCTCATTTTCTCCCACTTTTCCCTCTTCCAGCTTCCCTCCCACCCCAGTTGTATAGTTCATTTCCAATATAGTATTTAGAGAGTATCACTGTGAATTGGTTCACCCTTTGTCCTACTGTTTCTTGATTTCCCCTTCCCCTCTCCAAATCAGATAACTTTATATCAAAGACAAAAGGTATAGAAATAAAAAACAGTGACAGCAGGGAATAAACCAAAGGGAAAGAAGAAAGAAATAACTGCAAACAGTACAATAAAAAAATCTCGTTTGAGTTCATTTTGATAAGCATCTTTTTATATGGTCATATGCACATAACCATTGAACTATTTTGGTCCTCTCCTAAACATATTATAGTTATTACAAATAAAGGAAACCATGAGGTTTCAATGAGGAAATAAATGAGGTCTAGCTTACTTAATATAATTTTTTTATAAGTCTTTCCATCTCCTTACAAATGGGGCAATGCCATTCTTGATGGTGGAAGCATAGAATTCCATTGTGCATATATACACATTTTCTTGATCTCATCCACTGAGGGGCATCTGGATAGATTCCAGATCTTAGCTATGGTAATAATACTGCAATGAACATGGTTGTGCTGGTAAAATGCAATCAATTTTATAAAAATATATTGAGAAACAAGCATGCTTTATTTACCATAATAATAGATGCCTATAATTGTATAAATGCAGGTATCCCTTCTCCCCTCTTGTACCACTGCAAGAAACGTGGGTAAGAAGTGTCTTAAGAGATGAAGCAGTGTGTAATTAGGATTAAAAATGAAAACAGTTTAATACAACTATAGAAATTCACTAATACATTGTTTATACTCTTAAGTATTTTGAAGTCTTACAGAGAACCCTTACATTATATTGACATTTGTTTTGTCAACTCTATTACAAATAATATAATTAATGAAGAGGAAATTCTTAATTATTATCCAGGCTGTCAAGGTGAGGGATTGTCTCTTGTCTTCACTTTTATGTGTCCAATACTTAATGCAATGTATGACAAAAAGTACTCAGACAATGGTTGAAATAATCTACCTCAACAGAAATGTAGGAAAAATAAGTAAAGTTTTTTATGGATGACTTCATGTCATTCATTAACTGAATTTTTTTCTAACTCTATCCTTATTCTAGATTTAAGCCTTTTTCGACCTGTTTATGCACCCAAGGATTTTCTTGAGGTAAGTTCTACTGGATAAATATACATATATTAATGAAGGAATAGTGTGAGACATCATGTCTCCAGGTAGAGGGATCTCCATGAATAAAGCTGAGAATTATTGAACCAGAGAATGGTATGATCTAATCTGTGTTTAGAAATTGATATTGGAAAAACAAGAATATTTAGAAGTCAATTTGGAAGATTTTGATGAAATAGTATCTATGAGTCACATAGCCTATGGATGTGCAGCAGGTTTTCTCCCTTTTTATTCCTTTCCTTGCCCTAGGCCTCTAGGCAGGACGTGATGAGGGCCTGAACTAAGAACACTGCATGGGAAACAGAAAGAGTTTGACAATTTGAAGGAGAATTTAGTAGAATTTGAAACTGATTAGATATGAGGACTATGAGGAAAAGAAAACAATGATAGTCTCCTACTGTACATTGGGGAGTAGGAACATAGAGAATGTAGTGATAAAGGTAGAGAATACAATGAGTCCTCTAGTGAATTTGACCAGTGTAGTTGAGGGGCAGAGCAAACACTCAACTGAAACTCTTCAAAACCCAGTCGGAGCTCATTATTCAGTTAACCCATCTTTGATTTTACTCTTTCTCTTGAACCTTACCTATAACATGTAATTCCATCAGTTTTACCTTCAAAATGGTATCAGAATCTATGCATTTCATTTATTGTATTTATTTAGTGCCAGTGCTGGGATTAAACTCAGGGCCTTGTGTTCTTGCTCAGCTTGCTTGCTCATTGGCAAGCTCTCTACCACTTGATCTGTCTCCAGTTCAGCCTTTATCTTGTTAATTGGATATTTAAGTCTCAGGGACTAACTTTAATCCAAGGTCTTCCAGGTCTTAGCTTCCTGAGAAACTAGGATTACAGGTGTGAGACACCAGCATCCAGCTCAGAATCTATTCATTTCATAACATCATCATTACTGCTGTAGCCAGCCACCCTCAAGTCTTGTTTGGACTATGTAGAAGCCTCCCACCTAGTCTTTCTTCTCCACCCTCTACCCTTCTCCACCTAAAATCTGTTCTTAGCACAGGGAATCATTTAAATGCAACTCAGAACAATGCAGTTCTGCTGTCCAGTGGTTTCCTGTCCAAAGTGAAGACAGTGACCCCAAACGCCCTTTTTGATCAGATTCTCTGTTAACTCTTTGAGTTCTACTTCTGATTGCTTTTCCTCTTGACTTGCTTCCTCTGGTTTTCTTCCATCAGATGGAGCTATTTACTTTTATTTTCTCTTCTTGCAGTGTATTTCCCCAAATACTTGTCTGTTCTTTCCCTCATTCCCCATGTCTTTCTCAAATGTCACCCTTGAGGCCCTTTTGCTTGGAACGCCTATTCCTTTCCAGCATTTACCCTATAGCATTTCTCACCATATTGTATACTATTTCTAAATCTTTTTTTATTGCCTGCGGTCTGCCATTACGATGGAAGAGATACAATGAGGCAAGCTTTTCATTCTGTTTTGTTCATTGCTGCAACAATTGTATAGGTAGACCATTGACAACACTCAGAAGATTTCAGGGTTACCATGTAAGCTTTCAGCAAGAGCATATGCAAAGAGATCCACATTTCCAGCAGAGTTCCCATGGTCCTTTCTCAGTAATATAAAATGTGCTTTGTTCTAGAATTATAAAATATCGACATACATGAGAGACATTGGTCTAAGAAGCCAAAACTTCACTCATATGTTTCTTCCTGTCTTTGCAAATATTCAATCGTGAATCATCTCCCATATCCAAACTTATAGAACAGTTCTACATTGAAAGATACATAAATATTAAGATGATTTTTATCTGCCCAAAAAATACTTGTTTTTTATTAGTTCTGCTTCTGACATTTCTCTTTCGGTCTCTCCATCTCTTTCGCTCTCATTTCTTGTGAGTCTTGTTTAGAGGAAATAGGTATCTTACAATGTTATTCCTTCATCTTTCTTGAAACTTACCAAATTTTTGTTTTTGAAAGTGATAAGTATTGGTTCTAAAATTTTCCCTGGAAAGTATTACAATTAAGCATTTCCTTTCAATGATGAGTTTCATTGTGGCATTTTTATACCATACTTATATAATACTCAGCTTCTGCCACCTTTTCCTTTCTGTCTCCTCCCACACACTGATAACCCCCTCTTAAACAGTTCCCCTTTTGTATATTATGACATATATTATTTTGGGGGGAGGGGTATAGATTCCACATTGAATGAAACCATGCCATATTTGTCTGTCTCAGCTTGGCTTATTTTGCTTAATGTAATATTCAGTTACATCCATTTTTCTGAAAATAATGATTTCATTCTTCTATGTTGATGAACAATATTCCATTATATAGGTGTGCTACACTTTATTCAGTCATCACTTGTTGGGCACCAAATTCGTTCTGTATCTTGACTATTATAAATAAATGTCACAAACATGGGTGTGCCGGTATTTTCTTTTTACATCCCTTTAATTTACATTCCTTTGAATATATGCCTGAGAACTAGTACAGCAGGATCATATGATATCATTTCATGCTGATTTCTACTGTGGGTGCACTAATTTGTATCCGACCAACAGTATACAACAGTCAGTGATTATTTTTTATGACATTATCCTTGGTACGGTATTATAATAAAGCAGATTTTCTTCCAACCATCAAAAAAACCTTGTCTAAACTAGTATATGTCTGGTCAAGCAGAAAAGGTCAGATAAGTTGATGTTAGGGGAATGAACCCCAAGATAAGTATTCAAATGTTTTTTTTGTTTTCTTTTTCCTTTCATGCAATTGTTTCTATCATATTTATAAGATGATTTCTATGTTGCTTTGTATGTCCCTCCCCCACAGTATAACCCATACTTTCACTGTATTTGATGGTGGTATAATTTGTGGAGGGGAAGGGAAAAATCAAATCGTTTAACTAGGGATACAGGAGGACCCATTGCAACAATGAGATGTACAAGTCGTTATGTTGAAAAAACGAACTTAACAACTTTAGTGGGGGTTGGGAGAGGATTGGGTGGGGGGAGGGGAGGAGTATGGGAAGGGATGGGAAGGGGAAACAACAAGGAGGCAACAATGCTTGATAAGAAATGTACTTCTTATCTTGCCCATATAATTGTAACTCCTCTGTACGGTATTCTCACAATAAAAATAAATACATAAGGAAACAAACAAACACCTTGTCTAATTAAATTCTTAACTTTATAGAGAGTTTCATGTGGTAGATAATGAATTACACTATTAAAACCATATTAGTTAAAAGCATATCCATGGTTTTTGATATTTCAGTACAATTTTACACTATTGTAGTATATAATTGAAATACATGCATGACTCCAAATAGCTTTTAATCTTGTGGTGCTTTACCAAGAATATCACTATTTGACAAATATAAACATACTACAAAGAAACTAACCAATTCTGTTGGGTTTGTTTTAAAGGTTTTAATTAATCTTCGCAACCCAAATTATGAAAATGGTGATTCTCTTGGTTTCAGGACTCATTTGGGTTTAATCCAAGTTCCTCTGAAAGTAAAAGACATTCCAGAGTTGGTAAGTATAGACATTTAAAGATAAATTAGCATATTTTAGAAGATAGCCATTGGAAAAATGTTTTATATAACATGTATCTAAAATAATATAGTATACTCATTAAACAAATTAATAAAGTAACATTTCTTCTTATTGCAAATACATATATTTATATATTGTTGTTGTGGGGCTTGAACTCTGGGCCTGGGCACTATCCCTCAGCTCTTCAGCTCAAGGCTAGCATTCTACCACTTGAGCCATAGCTCCACTTGCGGTTTTCTGGTGGTTTATTGGAGATAAGAGTCTCACGGACATTCCTGCCCAGGCTGGCTTTGAACTGTGATTCTTAGATCTCGGCCTCCTGAGTAGCTAGGATTACAGGCATGAGCCACAGGCACCTGGCTTTGCAAATATATTTATAGAGAAAGTGAGTTACTTACTAAAATTGAGCATACATTGATGTGTAAATACTTACTCCTTATTTTAATCAACAGCAAAGATTTATAGATTTATAGGGCAGCTTTTTGGGATTCAGGTGTTTGGTATATGGCTATAAAAATGATTGAAAGAAATTCTGAGTTTTATAAAATGTACAGGTAGCCTAGCATATTTTATGTAAGTTAGACAGCCTTTATGAAACCCTTATCATGGTCAGGCACTGAAGGAGCAACTGGAGACTGTCTTTGCTCTGGAGATTGTTACGTTTTAGTGAGGGAATTCCTTTTGAAATAAAATATAGGAACATTCTTGGTGATGGATTTAGGATATTATCATTTCTCCTTCTTTTGTTAATTACCCCCAAAACAATAAGGAACACAAAATGCTATCTGGTCAAAGTAGGAAACAAGTAACTTTAATGTACTAAGGCTCATGATAAATGAATTACACTGGGGGGAAAAGGTCAAACCTAAGTGCCTCTGGAAGATGAGAAGTATGGAAGAAAGGTGTACCAGTAATCAATTAAATCTTCTGGTTTAGAGGCTACTTTTTTTATGCTCTGTTTTATTACATTCTAGCTGAAAGCATTTGGCAGGAGGTATACTTAGGTCTTTGAGAAGCATAGTGTTTCAGGTAGATCATCACTGAGAATCCTTCCAGCCATTCAGATGATCCGTCCAGCTCCCACAACACACACACACACACACGCACACGCATGCACATGTGCATATACATTCACGCACACACAGAGGGCAGTAACAGCAAGCACAGGGAAGTCAAGTATTTGACTCTATTTATTGTTGTACTCATGGGTGTACCTTCCAGGTCCCTTACAAGGCAGCTATGGCATGGTGGTCAAACCCAGGGCTCCATGTATGTGGTTAAGTGCTCTAACCTGGTCATGCGCAAAAAAGCTGAGTGAGAGTGCAATGCCTTGAGTTCAAGCCCTAGTACCAGCACAAAAAGAAGAAAAAGAAAAAAGGAGATTTCTTAAAACTTACATTATGAACTTTGAGGTGACCTTGTAACCAAGTCAGTAGTGTGGAGTTAGCAGGCTAGCACTGTGGCTCACTAGTGTGGTTCAGTATGTAAGAGCCCCTCTGCCATGTCAGGCACTGTGTTAAATCCAGTAGAGCCCTCTACCACTTGAGCCACAGCGCCACTTCCAGTTTTCTAGTGGTTTATTGGAGATAAGCGTCTCACAGAGTTTCTTGCCTGGGCTGGCTTTGAATCACGATCCTCAGATCTCAGCTTCCTGAGTAGCTAGTATTATAGGCATGAGCCACCGGTGCCCGGCTTCTATGTGTCTTTATCCCCAGTAAATTACCAAAAAGCCAAAAGCAGAGCCATGGCTCAAGTGATAGAGCACTAGCCTTGAGAAAAAGCTCAGGGAATAGTGTTCAGGCACTGAGTTCAAGCCCCAGCACTGACAAAAAGGAAAAAAAAATCTATATATCTACATCTATCTATCTATCTATCTATCTATCTATCTATCTATCTATCTATCTATCTATCTATCTATCTATCTATCTGTTAGACAGTAAAAATTAGGGGAAAGGAAATTTTACTAAAGGAGAAATATATCCAAGTTGCTTTTCATATATATGTGTGTATATAGATACACATATATATTCCTAAGTGTTTGTATCTTTTTTTTTTTTTTGCCTGAGACTGGAATTCAAACTCTTTATCTGATACCCATTGGCTGATACTGTACCCTGTTTGCATCTTTTCTATTCATGTGTATTTTACATGAAACCATTAAATGTTGTACAGTAACACCTGTGGTGAACAGAATTATAGTTATTTTGCTTCTTAATTTTTTTTTTTTTTTGTCGGTCGTGGGGCTTGAACTCTGGGCCTGGGCGCTGTCCCTCAGCTCTTCAACTCAAGGCAAGCGCTCTACCACTTGAGCTACAGCGCCACTTCTGGTTTTCTGGTGGTTTATTGGAGATAGGAGGTCTCTCCTGCCCGGGCTGGCTTTGAACCGCGATCCTCAGATCTCAGCCTCCTGAGTAGCTAGGATTACAGGCATGAGCCACCAGTGCCTGGCTTTGCTTCTTAATTTTTAACTGATGTATTTATTCAACTGTCCAGTATTGTCCTTTATTTTTTTAGATATTTGAATGAAACAAAGATGCAGTTTACAGTGTGATTTTGTTAAAACTGATTTTCTAAGTGAAAGTAATAATTGTTTACTATGAAGCAAAGCCTGTGGTGTGTATTAATTCTTCATATATTATTTTCAGAAAGAATGTTTTGTAGAACTTGGCTTAACTACAGGACAGCTGGGCATCGATGATTCTACACAAGTGCCTCCTGGTTAGTATTTCTCCTGCATGACATATAATTAATGTAAGTGATAACTGACAGTGAGTTTAAGGGTATATTCTTGTTACTAATCTCATGGATATTTTGTACCTGAATTTAGGTTGCTTTTGTCTCTTATTAGCTACTATTAATTATAGAACAGGATCCTGAACATTGCAATCATTAGATTTCTGAAAATTTTTGAAGGTATTTAAAATGATGTTTAAGTTATTAGACATGCAAGTAAGTTTGTCTTTTTGGAAGAATCTTCATTAGTGGTTTTCATATTTCCCTTTCTTGGCATTTTTATGTTACTAAGTTAAGTGAAAGCTGGTATATTGGACTCAGGCTTTTAAAATAGCATCTGTAATCATGTATTCAAGTTCACTAATTTCTCTTTGATACCTAAATAACATTGCACTTTTCAGAAAAGATCAGCAAGGCTTTAGTAATGCTAAGATGGAAGTAAAATTGACTAAAAATGTAAGAGGCCTGTATTGTACTGGAAAAAAGTCCTAGACAAGTAACACGTTTGGATTTGCTTCCTCCTTAGTAAGATAAAGAAGTTGACTACTTATTATTACTATTATGATAGTAACATTATATAATAGTTGCTGTTATTGCTAAATAATAATAAATAATGAGTGGTCATCAAATACATCCTGTGTGTGTTACATGTATGTCATCTCATTTAACCTGGTAGTACTCTTAATGATATATAGTATTACCATTTATTAAAACTAGATTGGCAAAGAAAAAGCTGAAATCCTATTTGAAAAATAGCTAAAAACCAATAAGGCAAAAAAAAATTTAAAAATTTTAAAAAACCAATAAGGCCTGGAGGCATACTTAAGTAGTAGTATACTAACCTCACAAAGAAGAGGCTCTGAGGTCAAACCTCAGTATTGCCCAAAACCTCAATCCTTTATTAATGTACAGTGCATATAGGGAGGTACATATCGTAAGAACTCACAGCTCATGAATTTTTCAAATTGAACATGCCTCCTAAAATATTAACTCAAAGCACAAATAGCTCTCCTTTTTACCAATCTATATCCCCCATTTCCAAGATAATCCACTATTCTTATTTCTGGCAGCATAAATTAGTTTACTGTTCTTGAATTTCATATGAATGGAAGTATGTACTGTCTCTATTTGATGACTGACTGGGTTTGTTTGCCATTTTGTTTTTGAGATTCAGCTATAGTGGAATAAATATTTAATCACTTTCTTGCGTGTGGGTTCATCCCACACATTTATGTCCTCATGTACTGTTGGGGAGAATTGGGAAAGTATCAAACTTGAGGACACTACAGATAAGTCCACTATAAGCATCCTAGCATGTGTCTTCTGTTGTGCATAGGCCGGGAACACAGTGCTCTGTCTAGAGTGCATGTGTTCAGGTTAGTAGACGGCTGCGGGAGGGGAATGCCAATGTCCACCTAGACTCTCTGCGATGCATGAGAGTCACAGATGTAGTGCCTCCTCACTAATGCTGGGTATGCCCTATATTCTTTTTTATTTGGGTGGTGGATAGTAGCATTGCATTTAATGTTCTTACATGATGCAAGCTAGGCATTGTACTGCCTCTTTAGAGTTGAAGAAGTAGGGTGTTAAGTAACTTGCTTAAGTTCAAAATATTAGTAAATGGTAGGTCCAGGATTCAAAACTAAGCAGTGTATCACTAAAGTATGCCACAGTGTGCTGCCTCCCACTGCCACTAGTTAGCCTTTCTTTGTTTCGTAAGAAGAAATCAAGCTGGGCACTGGTGGTCATGCCTGTAATTCCAGCTCATCAGGAGGCTGAGATCTGCCAGTCCAAGCAGGAAAGTCTGTGATATATTCTTATCTCCAGTTAACCATCAAAAAGCCAGAAGTAGAGCTGTGGCTCAACGGGTGAAGCACCAGACTTGAGTGAAAAAGCTAAGGGACAGTGCCTGAACCCTGAGTTCAAGCCCCAATGCCTGTATTTTAAAAAAAAATTATCTGATAGAAAAAGGTATCATGCTTTCTTCATAACCAATGACAGCAGAGTATAAAAAAGAAAGAAAAATAGTAATAAAATGTTGTATCATACTTTTCATTTTTGAAATGATTTTTAAGAATTATTTAACATTATTTTAAAGCTCATAGTAGCTCTACTTTTGGAAAGTTTTTCCTTCTTTGATTTGCTCATATTATACTAGATATATGTTGAGACATTGCTAAGGGCCAGTGAAGAGCTAGATAGGAGTGATCCCCTCTGCTCTTAGAGAAGATTCTGTGGTCATGGCAGTGAAGATTCAGTGTGCTGCTTGCTGTTAATGAGTGAAAAGGCAGTGAGAGCAGAGGAAAGAGCATCCGAGCCGGCCTGGAGATGATTGGTAATCTCTTCATTGATGCATTCCTTTTACTCTCTCTTCCTCTCAAACCTGGACTACTAAAAATTGAGTTTAAATTAGTGTTCATTCAAAGATGAACAGTATTTGGATTTCTGCTAGACTTGAGAATTGCTAGGCAACAGTATTACTTCAGAAGAAGAATGGAATCCATCATAATTACATTTATCTAGCAGTCACCATGTTTTAATCTATGTGTATGACTTTGCTTAAATTGGAAAGGTAATGTTAAATGTCTGAAAGTGTGAATACTTACGTTGACTAGAGGCAAGTTTTATATCGAAGATTGTAACCTACAGGACCATGTTCTTTTTGTTCATCGTTAAAACCTATTACTGTAACAGTAATAGTAGCCAGTTCCCACTGTTCACCTATTAAATTCAAAGAGCATTTCTCACAGTAGCGTATCAGCTTTCAAGAAAAGTCTGTCCTATTATATCATATTTAATAAAGTTTTAGAAATTAGACTTACCCATTATTTCTACAAATTCACAAGTTTTCATGTATTATAAACACCCTCCCACACATACACACTACAGAGACCACTTATAAGTGTTAATAGGGTTACATTTGTGTGATTATTGCTGATTGTATGTAATAATGAATCCTATTAGTTGAGAGTTTTGCTAACTAGACATTTTTTAAATATATCACTTGTTATTTCTAAAAGGAGAAAGCTGTTTTCATGCAGCATTTGCTGAAGTATGTTCTGGGAAGCACCTGTCTCATGTTTTCTGCAAAAGAGATCTTGTCAAATCAGATTTGGGAAGGGCTGGCCCATACCACTTCAAATACACAGTGTGTGGCACTATCTTGTTCTAATTTTAAAATAAGTTTTATTGACATGTAATGTACATGCTTATCAGTACACCAGTTAGGAGAATACACATCAGTGAATATACTCTGTGTCTCTGTTTCTTTGTTTAATGTTTGTAAAACTCATATCTGTTGTGTAGAATTATACACTTCTAACTTTTATTGTTGTGTTATATATAGTCCACTCTGTATGCGGACTATTTGTGTTGTTACCATTGTTTGATTTTTATCAATAGTGTTCTATGAATATTCTTTCACATGTCACTTGGTACATCTGTGTACACATTAGGGCATATGCTTGAGAGTGCATTACTAATTATCATATTGTATACATATGTTCAGTGTTAGTAGATAGTGCCAGTTTTCCAAAGTTACTACATCAGTTTACGCTTCAACCAGTTTTGTATGAGAAGCTCATCTGCTCACTATTTTGTGTATCAGTCTTTTTTATTTTCTCCATTGTGGTGAATGTGTATTTCATAATGGTTCTAGTTGTATTTTTCTGATAACCAATGTAGTCAAGTAGTCTTTTGTTGTTGTTGTTGTTGTTGTTTTGGGTCCAGTCGTGGGGCCTGAACTCTGGGCCTGGGCGCCGTCCCTCAGCTCTTCAGCTCAAGGCTAGCCCTCTACCACTTGAGCCACAGCGCCACTTCTGGCTTTTTTCTTCTTGCTTATGTGGTGCTGAGGAATCAAACCCAGGGCCTCGAGCATGCAAGGCAAGCGCTCTACCACCGAGCCACCTTCCCAGCCCCATCAAGTAGTCTTTTATATGCTTATTGTTTCTTTCATCACCATTTTTGTAAAGAGTGAATTCAAGTCTTTGGCCTATTTGTATCTGACAATTATCTGTCTTTTTCTATGAGGATTCCTTTATGTACTCTGAGTCCTTTGCCAGATATACATATTGCAAGTTTGTGCTTCCAATCTATGATTTACCTCTTCCCCTTTTCCCCCTCCCTCCCTCAGACTGGTCTTGGGCTCCTCATTCTCCTTGTTAATTGTCTTCCTCATTAATTACTAGCATGTGACATCAAGGCCTGTACCTCTTCCCCCTTAATGATGTTTTTTTTTAAGATTTTTTTTTACTTTAATATGTTTTTATTGTATACAGAGGGGTTACAGTTACATGAGCAAGGTAATGAGTACATTTCCTATCAAGCATTGTTGCCCTCCTTTATTTTTCCCCTACCTTCCCACCTCCACAACTACACTCTCCTTCCCCCTCCACCTAAATTGTAAAGTTTGTTTTTCTTTTTTAAAAAATATGTTTTTTATTGTAAAAATACTGTGCAGAGGGGTTACAGTTACATGAGCAAGATAAAGAGTACATTTCCTACAATGGGTCAACCTGTACCATGTGATTTTTTTTTGTTTCTTTGTATGCTCCTCCCCCACAGTATAACTCCTGTTTTCACTGTATTTGATGTTGGTGCCCTGCATCTTATATATACACTTCTTTAATGATGGTTTTTGAAGAACATGTTATTTTGATAAAGTTTAGTTTCTGAGTCTTTTTTTCATTATGATTAATGCTTAAAGTAATCCTTCCATAAAAGTCTTAATTGGCATTTTTATGGTAGGATTTTACCTATTTAAGATATACTGTTATTACAAGTACATAGTGGCAGATTAGAGTGGAAGTAAGACATTATAAGTGAAATTGTCAGCAGGCTTTTTTGAAAGTCAAAGATGAAATGTACAAAAATATTTTTATGTTACAAGAAGAAACTCTTTTTTTGTTGTTGTTGTTGTCATCAGTCGTGGGCCTGAACTCAGGGCCTGGGCGCTGTCCCTCAGCTTTTCAGCTCCAGGCTAGCATTCTGCCACCTGAGCCACAACACCACTTCCAGCTTTTTCTGCTTATGTGGTGCTGAAGAATCAAACCCAGGGCCTTATGCAGGCAAGGCAAGCACTCTACCACTGAGCCACCTTCCCAGCCCACTCTTTTTATTTCTTAAATAATTTTTATTGAGATTAAGTGATTACATAAACTTTACAAATTTCACAGTATTGTGGGATAGTGATAATTTAGTTAAAGTCACAAACACATTTAACAGTCTTCACAAGGCAAATTGTCATAGTCTATAAAGTTTGTGAATTCTTTTTTTTTGGGGGGGGGGTCTGGTTGTGGGGCCTGAACTCTGGGCCTGGGTGCTGTCCCTCAGCTCTTCAGCTCAAGGCTAGCACTCTACCACTTGAGCCACAGTG